AATCCAAGGGAAACAACATCCATTCGGTGAGTCGTTTTTAATTTTATTAATTTACCAACACATATCGGGATAATTCGCGATTTGGACCACTCCAAATAATACTAGTATTCAAACTTTTTTTGTATCAAATAATTTTTCGCTGCCAAACACTTTTGTATTGGCCAAAGATTAAGCTTTCGAATGAGACATTGTTTATCGAAATCGGTGGACTGGTTCTCTTGTTATAATCAAAATACTATACATATCTAATTGGAGGCTAAAAAATTGGGGGCTAACTTCGCATAGTTGATAAAAAGTGGTTTAATTTTTAGTGTAGAGTAGCATAGATTAGGTTTCGTTTAATTAAAATTGCAGCCTTATTTAAATTTTTAATTAACGCAAATAAAACCGTAATTACAATACAAGTCAGTTCCGGTCGAACGACACGATAATTAGAGCTTGAATCTCTTTTACAACGTAACAAAAGAACGCAGAATTAATATTGAAACCTAACGGTTTTCTATGATAATGTTAGATTATTTATTTTAGTAAGGAAAATTCAAAATAAACAAACCGTGCCTTTTAGTGCCAAAAAACTCCTTTTTGCATTTCTTTCAAATCAATCTATGCAACTTACATCGATATCATCGAGTGATTGGCTAACCTGAAGGTATTTTCTTCGTCTTTCTTCCTGATAAACCTTCTTCATGTGTTCCGCTTGCCTTCTCTGTAACTCGTCTTCGCTCACTGACTCTTTTACTTCCTGTCTTACTGGCGTTTTGTAGTGGATCGTCACTTCGTTTTCCACGTACTTTCTTGGCGATTCTAAAACGAGAATAAGATAACAAATTATTTTTTAATTTATTTTCAAGTTTGCTAATCTCAGAATTTATTGGTTTTAATTCAAAAAATATTTAGATATTATATTAAATTCATTTTAAATAATTTTTGGCAACATTATCTAGTCTTCTGGAGCAGTACCTAATCTTTGGAAGCTATATTTAATCTTGTATTAGCAGTAACTAGTTTCCATTCTAGTATCTAGTCATCTAAAGCAATATTAAGTATTCTGCGTTTTCCACAAAGCAGAATTTAATCCTTCAAAAACTCTAGAATAAGAGAAAACCTGATTGGTGTAAATCAAAATGGTTTTAATCGCCTAAAAACATCACTAGGATACTTAGCAACAATGAAAGAATTAAAAATGAATGTTTTGATGATTTTTGAAAATGTTCAAAAGATACCAGGACATGGAAAAAAAATTCTAAATGGTTCTAATTAATTAAAAACATAACTACGATACTTAACAACGATGACATAATTAAAATAACATATTTTGACAAATTTTGCAAGTGTTTCAAAGATACCAAAACATGGAAAATACTAATTGGTGCGATTCAAAATGGTTCTAATTGATTAAAAACATAACTACGATACTTAACAACGATGACATAATTAAAATAACATACTTATTTAATTGGTATTAACAATTAAAATGGAATTAAAAGTAATAGAATGTTTTAAGTTTCGTTGTTTTTGAAAGATCGATTTTAAAATTACAATCGCATCGTTAAGAGTCGCACAAACACGCGACTCGCACTCATTTTAAATAATTTTTGACAACATTATCTAGTCTTCTGGAGCAGTACCTAATCTTTGGAAGCTATATTTAATCTTGTATTAGCAGTAATTAGTTTCCATACTAGTATCTAGTCATCTAAAGCAGTATTAAGTATTCTGCGTTTTCCACAAAGCAGAATTTAATCCTTCAAAAACTCTAGAATAAGAGAAAACTTGATTGGTGTAAATCAAAATGGTTTTAATCGCCTAAAAACATCACTAGGATACTTAGCAACAATGAAAGAATTAAAAATGAATGTTTTGATGATTTTTGAAAATGTTCAAAAGATACCAGGACATGGAAAAAAAATTCTAAATGGTTCTAATTAATTAAAAACATAACTACGATACTTAACAACGATGACATAATTAAAATAACATATTTTGACAAATTTTGCAAGTGTTTCAAAGATACCAAAACATGGAAAAAACTAATTGGTGCGATTCAAAATGGTTCTAATTGATTAAAAACATAACTACGATACTTAACAACGATGACATAATTAAAATAACATATTTATTTAATTGGTATTAACAATTAAAATGGAATTAAAAAATGTTTTAAAGTTTCGTTTTAAAAGGATTGTTTTTGAAAGATCGATTTTAAAATTACAATCGCATCGTTAAGAGTCGCACAAACACGCGACTCGCATTCATTTTAAATAATTTTTGGCAACATTATCTAGTCTTCTGGAGCAGTACCTAATCTTTGGAAGCTATATTTAATCTTGTATTAGCAGTAACTAGTTTCCATACTAGTATCTAGTCATCTAAAAGCAGTATTAAGTATTCTGCGTTTTCCACAAAGCAGAATTTAATCCTTCAAAAACTCTAGAATAAGAGAAAACCTGATTGGTGTAAATCAAAATGGTTTTAATCGCCTAAAAACATCACTAGGATACTTAGCAACAATGAAAGAATTAAAAATGAATGTTTTGATGATTTTTGAAAATGTTCAAAAGATACCAGGACATGGAAAAAAAATTCTAAATGGTTCTAATTAATTAAAAACATAACTACGATACTTAACAACGATGACATAATTAAAATAACATATTTATTTAATTGGTATTAACAATTAAAATGGAATTAAAAAATGTTTTAAAGTTTCGTTTTAAAAGGATTGTTTTTGAAAGATCGATTTTAAAATTACAATCGCATCGTTAAGAGTCGCACAAACACGCGACTCGCAATAAATATTAATGCGAATGTGTGTTGGTTTGTCGATTCACCCATTCTTATTGTATGCATATTTACTCTTCCTTCGATTTAAAGGATGGGTTTTGAGTTATTTGAAAAAAAAGTGTTTAAAATTAAAATTGAATCTTATTTTTTTGATAATAACGCTAATAAAAAATATCTTACTTACGTTTTAAGAGAATTTAAAGAATTTTGTTTACCGTAAACGTATTATTTCAAGATACAACTACAAACTGTACACGCTCTGTTAGTGTTTACTGTTTGAGAATGGAAAAGGTACTTGAATCGGTTCGTGTGACGAGCGGAGTTTCGAGAAGAAGTGGGATCGCGAGATCTAATTTTCATCGCGTTTCTACTACGGTCAATGTTAACGCTAAAGTTTTTCACTATTCAAGTGGAAAACAGAAGTGGGACAAATTCAAAAACGTTCCATCGAAAGAATTTAAACGTACTCGACATGTGTACGAATTTAAACTATTTTTGTTGTAAACTAAATGGTTTAACAAATAATATTGAGTTTTTGAAATATAAAAATAAATACATTAATTTACTAACTATACGGAATAGGTCCATAAACCATCGGATTTGCGATTGTGTATCTATAACGCTTCGTTTCCTGTTGACTCAGTGATTGATTTGGTGTTTTCTTGCGAAATTGAACGTCCAAAGTACTCATTCTTGTTTTTTTTACTTCAAAAACAACACTATTTCTAAATAATTAGTTTCACAACCTTCACTAAACGATCACTTGAACGTTTTATCAGAATGGTTTTCTTTATCGACATTGTTATCTAGATATATTAATAATTAGATTAACCTTGCAGATAATTTAAGTTTCCCGGAATTAAATTGAAACAATAAATCAATCAATCTTTATTTTTCTTTCGCACGATTTTAACGGTAAATCCAATTTTCATCCGAACTGTTCGTTTCAAAATATAATACTGGCTATAGCAAGTTGAAGTTAATGTGGGAGTAACGCAATACAAAAGCAGCTCAAGTAATTTCACTGTTCAAAACTGCATTGTTTTCTCTCGATTCATATTCAATTTTAAATTAAAAATTCTTTTCAACTAAATTTAATTTGCTACGAGATTAAAGACACATTAATAACAATAAATATTTTTTAAATTAATTTGTTAACAAACAGAAACATTATTTTATTTATATTTTTAGTAGGAACCTCGATTATCAGGTATTTAACATAATATATCAAAAAATTGTGTGTTGGTGCGCTTCAAAATTGTACTCATCGACAAAAAATCCATTCAAGTTATTTAATCAGAACAAAATAAGTTTATGTCATTAAAGGGGTGTTTTCCAAAAAATTCCAAAACTCTAAAATAAGAGGAAAGCTGATTGGTGTAAATCAAAATGGTTCTAATCGCCTAAAAACATCACTAGGACTACTTAAAAGCAATGGAAGAATTAAAAAAAAACATTTTGACGTTTTTTGAAAGTGTTTCAAAGATACCAAGACATGGAAAAAGCTAATTGGTGCGATTCAAAATGGTTCTAATTGATTAAAAACATAACTATGATACTTAACAACGATGATATAATTAAAAAAAAATATTTGGACATTGTTTTAAAGCGTTTCAAAGATACCACGACATAGAAAAAACTAATTGGTGCGACTCAAAATGTTTCTAATTGATTAAATACATAACTAAGATACTCAATAACGATGGCAGAATAAAAAAAAATATTTTGATGTTTTTTGAAAGTGTTTCAAAGATACCAAGACATGGAAAAAACTAATTGGTGCGACTCAAAATGGTTGTAATTGATTAAAAACATAACTATGATACTTAACAACGATGATATAATTAAAAAAAATATTTGGACATTGTTTTAAAGTGTTTTAAAGATACCACAACATAGAAAAAACTAATTGGTACGACTCATAATGTTTCTAATTGATTAAATACATAACTAAGATACTCAATAACGATGGCAGAATAAAAAAGAATATTTTGATGTTTTTTGAAAGTGTTTCAAAGATACCAAGAAATGGAAAAAACTAATTGGTGCGACTCAAAATGTTTCTAATTGATTAAAAACATAACTATGATACTTAATAACGATGGCAGAATACAAGAAGAATATTTTGATGTTTTTTGAAAGTGTTTAAAAGACCCCAGGATATATAAAAGCCTTATTGGTGTGTGTCAATATTGTTCTAATCGACCGGAAAAGCTTTAATCCTATTTCCTAAAGGACAAAACAAGTTAATAACATTACAAGGAGTTTTTACCACAAAATTCATAAACTCTAACATACGAGAAAAGCTAACTGGGTGCCTCAAAATGGTTCCAATTGATTAAAAATATCACTAGGATCTTAGGAAAGATAAAGTGATTTAAAAAAATGTATTTGATGCTTTGCAAAAGGATTTTAATGAAATCAAAAAATAGAAAAATCTTATTGGTATGTGTCAAAACTGTACTAATCGATGGGTAACATATTGAGATTCTTTAATAAGGCTGAAATAAGTTAATAATAATTAAAGGAGTTTGAAAATATGATTTTGGTGGCTTTTTGGAATTGGTTCAAAGATGCCAGAATGTAAAAATAGGTTGTTGGTGTGTGTCAAAATTATACCAATTCATTGCAAATATTTTGAGGGTACTTAACATTGGAAAAACAAGTCGATAAAATTGAGATTTGTAATTAAACAAATTTGAAATATTTTGTTATTACCTGGATAATCGAGGTATAATTTAATAAATTATTTATTCTTTGGTTAAAATTGAACGGTGTTAACTAAATCAATTATTATTATTTTACCTTGGTATTCGACTTTTCTTCTTGATGTCTTCGGTGGTGGGATTGGGACATCTGGTTCTAGCAACGGCAACGATAACGCAAGAAAAAAACATGAACGAAAGACAAACAAAAATGAATGTGACAAAAAAAATGATAATGAAACGAAATCTACAAGAAAAGCATGCAAGAATGAAAAGATTGAACTATTCTTAACTTAAAGAATCTTTGGTGCTTATTAAGAATTGACTAAGAGAAAAAGGTGTCGTTTTTCTACGTTAGGAAATTTTTAACATGATTCTGATACAACACCTTCAAAGAATGTGACTGAGGTGGACTTGGTTGGTGATTCCATCCACCACGATTTGTTGCAGTACCTTGATGGTGATATTGATGATCCAGACGATTTCGGTTTTTGATCCAAATTAGAAAGTAATAAATCGTTATCTTCTTTTCTCGGAAATTTATGCGCCGTCCAAGAAGCAGTCAAATAAGGCGCGATATCTTTCAATTCGTTTAAATTCGGCGAAGACGTAAACATATGTCCTAACAACGACATTCGATCGGGCGAATTAAATTTTTGTTTCACTTTTTCAACTTCCCCAACAGAAATTCCTAAAATCTCGGCCAATTCTTCAATGCTTTTTTGATCATCTTTTATTTTTTTTGGGTAAAGAGATGCGATCTTGCTGATGATGTTGATATGGGGCATATATCTATCTTCGGCTTTTAAAAAAATCGGTGAAATAACTCCCCCTCTTCGAATTCGACTTCTTCCGCGTCCCGCGAGGTGGGGATATTCGTATTTTCTTCTTAAATTGTCAACTTCGCCTAGTTTTAGGCCGGGCACGATGATTTCTTTAAACGATTTGTGTACTTCTGAGTCACTGTTGCATCTTCTTATTAAATCGAATTTGGTTTTTAATTTTTTAACATCCCCCGATTTTGCTAGGGATAAATAATATAATTCGGGATTTGGAGAGACGTTTCTTGATTTATTCATTGATTTGGCCGATTCGGATTCTCCAAATAATTCTTTGAAATCTTGACAAGATCTTGATAAATTTTTTGGTTCAAACGATTCGGCTGGTTTATAAATGGTTGGGGTGAACTCGTCTTTTTCATGGACGTGTTCGAAATATTCGACTTTTTCTTTTACAGCTTTCGTGTCGAGGCATAAAACGGTTCTTGTTGAATCATCGGTGCTTTCAGTTTCGCTATTTGATGAGGGTTTTTTAATGATTTCGTCGATGGCGTTGGTTTTTATTAAAGCTTTTTTGGGTACAACGATAAAAACGTCTTCATCTTTTTCGGACGTTTCGATTGAGTAGCAAGTTCTTGGAGATGGGGGGGGTGCCGAAACTGTTGCACCAAACGTTTCTTTCGCTAAAACTAATTTATTTTTTTGGCGATTCAAAATTTCTTTGCTTAATGATTTCGAAAGGTTTTTTTTATCGATTTCTGTTAACGATTTCGAGTCTTTATCGATTTTTGGGGATGATTCGGAATTTCTTCGGACTGTTAAATTTGGATTGATGTTAATTTTTTTTGGGACATCGACGTAATTTTCTGGTTTTATCGATTTCGTTGGTTGCCCATTTTGATAAATTTCTTTTAATTGATTCTTTAACGTGTTAACTTGTTCCATTGATAAGCTACTCCATATCCTACTTCCAACGCCTCGAGTTAATAAATCACTTTCATTTTTATTAATTTTATTAATTTTATTAGATTCATTAAAATTTAATTTCTCAAAATTTTCTTTGATGTTATCAACGGACTTTTCTTTAATTCTTAACCCACTGTCGTAATAATTCTTCCACTTATTTACGTCTTTGGGTAAAAATAATAAATCGCGTTCTTTTTGGACGTCTTTTAATTCTTTATAAATGTTATTTATTTCTCTTTCAGTTTTTTCTCTTAACCTAACTTCTTTCCAGCGATCATAATCGATTATTTCGTCTTCGAATTTCCTCCTTGGTCTTAAATCGGATGATGATAAAGTCGTTTTTTCAAGCTCGCCCAAACGTTCTATTGTCGAATAAAATTTATTTAACTCTTTAAATCGTTCGGATTTCCTTTTTGACTGTATCAAATCTTTTACGTAATCTTGGTACTCCCTTTTGCTACAAATTGATTCAATCGATGATGTTAAATTCTGATTTAAATCGTAACTTTTATCATCGGCGCTTCGAGATCTTGGTAATTTTTTTTGATGGATTGTTTTATAACTTTTTCTAATTTCTGATTTTAACGACTGATTAGAACTGTACGGCGATGTCTTCGTTTGCGAGAAATAAATTGTTTCGGGCGGGTTTAATTTTGGAACAAAAATTTTCGGGGGTAAACTAACGCTTCTTTCTTTATAAAAAGACTTGTTTGACTCGAAATTTTCGAATCTAACCGATTTGGGGCTCGTTGATCTCGACCGAATCGAATCGATTTGTTTAAATTTCGAATCCGAAACGGGTTTACGATTATTTAAGTAAATTTTTAACGCCCCAATACTCGGTTCTGATACATTTGATCTTCGTCTTTGTAAAGCTTTCGTTTTTTCAACAATCCACGATGAGGTGTTGGTGAAAGTTTCCGATTTTTGTATCGGTTGGTTTTTTAAAAATAAATTTTGAAAAAATGAGTTTGTTTCAACACATTTTTTTTGATTTTTTATATCTTCTAAAGTTATTTGCGATTTTTTATTAACCTGTTTACTTATTTCTCCGTTTAGTTCGTCTTTTTTAGATTTTTTTAGTTTTTGTGGCGTTGTTACTGTGGTTTTTTTCAATTTTACATTTTTAACAGGAACTTTCTTCGTTGATTTCAATGACTCCATAGAACTCGATGATTTCTTTGACGGTGTTGGCGAAACGCAGCTTTTTCTTGTTTTTAAAATCTCTTTTCCTTTCTCAGAAATTGTGACTTTTATGGGAAGGTCATTCTTTTTAATTCTTTGTTTTTGAATAGCATCCGCTTTTTTCACCTCATTCGGCGATAATAATTCAGGAGATTTTGAAAGGCGTTTATCTAAAGAAGATAAACTTTTTGATTTTAATAAATTTTTGTTCTTTTTTACTTTTTGTTCGTTTAAATTCGATTTAATTTTAGATTTTAAAGTTGAGTGTTTCGTCTCAACGTTTGGTGAGGTACAAATTGTTTTAGTAACTTTAATTTTCGTCTCACCTTTCTTTTTCAACGACGGTGTCAACTTACAAGTTATTTTATCTCTTAAATATTTAACATTGTTGTTTTTATTTAAATTAGTGTTGCTTATGAAGCAAGTTTCGTGCCTTTTCCCACTTTCTTTCGGTTTATCAACCCGCAACGTCGATATCAACCTTAAAGTTGAGTTATTTCTTGATGATTTCCGCTTCGGGGGTGAAGGGGGAATTGGAGGTAGATTGCTTATACAACTTGGAGCACTTCTTTTGTATGTTTTAAATAAATTTTCGTTGCTACTTTTATGGATGCGAATTTTTGTCAACGTGGGTGAAATCGGAACGTATTCTATTTCTGCGAATATTAAAAATTAAAAAAGATAATTACTTACAATTCATTCCTTTTAAATTAGTTCTTAGTGCCCTGGTGTTGCAAAAAAATTATAGATGAGAAATTAAAAATTATCGCGTGATTTTTAGTGATTCATAGTAAAGAATAGTTCAAAATTTGATGTTAAAAAGCCAAGTAGTACCACAAACCTTATTTCACCCCAATTCCAACACCAATTTATTTTAGTTAAGATGTTAATTTAAACTTACCCTTCGGCCTTTCGGGCGCAGCTTTTCTCAAACCATGTAAAGGAACATCCCCGCCTTTTTGAATAGTCCTATAAGCTTCTCTTTGCTGGGAAGGACTTAATTGATTCAGCGCATCTTCGCGTCTTCGAAAAACCAAAGTTGAATCACTCTCATAACCACTTTCCTTCAAAGCCCTAAAAAATTAAATAAACAAAACCGAAACTTCCAAACTACTTAACTAACTTACTGACTCATATATCCCTTACTAGGAATATGTTTTTGCTGCTCTAAATGCTAAAAAACAATAAAAACTTATTAATTAAAAATTATCCTCAATAAAAATTTCGTATAATAAAACGGTTTTGTTTAATTTGTGTGTTTAAACATGCAAGTTGTATTTATTTGACTAAAATAAAAATGTTTAATTCTTTCTTTTTTAAATCATGCATCTTACATTTTTATTAATAGCTCTAACCAGCGAATAGTTGCAGCTTTTGAACGTAGTATGATCATCCAACCACTGACGACCACCCAACAACCACCAAATAAACCACAAAAAGTTAGTAAAAAAAAGAAATAACTCACACAGATTCACTCGAAATGATATCGAAAAGAAATTTAAATAAGTACCAATTCAAAAATTACAATTATTAAGACATTTCACGTATTGTGTGCGGTCTAAAAAAACGCTAATCAAGCTGTCTACGCTAATAGAACTTTTAAGATTATATTATTTCATTTGTAGTGTGTGCATGAAGTTAGATATGAAGTTAGTGAAAGTTTTGCTTTGGTTTTGCTCTCCTTCTTTGTCTAGGATTTTAAATATTAAAATTGTTCTTTTATTCATTACTTTTCAAATTGTAATGAAACGGATAATATTTTATTGATTTAATGGCCCCAACCTTATTTTGAGTAGTTTGGAAATGACTTATATCTCTAATTGAAGATAAAATGATCTATTTGTAGAAAAAGTGCAAGATACATGGGGTAAGATATACAGTATTTTTAGAAAAAGAATCTTGTAAGACAAGATGTTAATTTCAAAAAAAGTCAAAACTTAAAAAATCACTCTGACTTTATTTTGAGGAGTATCGAAATAGTTTATATCTCAAATTGAAGATAAAATGTTCTATTTTTAGATAAAGTGCAAGATACATGGGGTAAGATATATAGTATTTCTAGAAAAAAAATCTTGTAAGATAAGATGTTAATTTTGAAAAAAGTCAAAACTTAAAAAAATCACTCTGACTTTATTTTGAGAAGTATCGAAATGGTTTATATCTCAAATTGAAGATAAAATGCAATATTTTTAGATAAAGTGCAAGATACATGGGGTTAGATATAAAATATTTCTAGAAAAAAGATCTTGTAGAAGAAAATGATAATTTAGGTTACTTCAGCAAAAGTCAAAAATTAAAAAAATCGTTCCAACTTTATTTTGAGGAGTACCGAAATAGTTTATATCTCAAATTGAAGATAAAATGTTCTATTTTTAGATAAAGTGCAAAATAGATAGGGTAAGATATAAAATTTTTCTAGAAAAAGAATTTTGTAAGACAAGATGTTAATTTTGAAAAAAGTCAAAACATAAAAAAATCACTCCGACTTTATTTTGAGGAGTATCGAAATAGTTTATATCTCAAATTGAAGATAAAATGTTCTATTTCTAGATAACGTGCAAAATACATGGGGTAAGATATAAAATATTTCTAGAAAAAAGATCTTGTAGAAGAAAATGATAATTTAGGTTACTTCAGCAAAAATCAAAAATTAAAAAAATCGTTCCAACTTTATTTTGAGGAGTATCGAAATAGTTTATATCTCAAATTGAAGATAAAATGTTCTATTTTTAGATAAAGTGCAAAATACATGGGGTAAGATATAAAATATTTCTAGAAAAAAGATCTTGTAGAAGAAAATGATAATTTAGGTTACTTCAGCAAAAGTCAAAAATTAAAAAAATCGTTCCAACTTTATTTTGAGGAGTATCGAAATAGTTTATATCTCAAATTGAAGATAAAATGTTCTATTTTTAGATAAAATGCAGGATACATGGGGTAAGATATACAGTATTTCTAGAAAAAAAATCTTGTAAGACAAGATGTTAATTTTGAAAAAAGTCAAAACTTTAAAAAATCACTCTGACTTTATTTTGAGAAGTATCGAAATGGTTTATATCTCAAATTGAAGATAAAATGCAATATTTTTAGATAAAGTGCTAGATACATGGGGTTAGATATAAAATATTTCTAGAAAAAAGATCTTGTAGAAGAAAAAGATAATTTAGGTTACTTCAGCAAAAGTCAAAAATTAAAAAAATCGTTCCAACTTTATTTTGAGGAGTATCGAAATAGTTTATATCTCAAATTGAAGATAAAATGTTCTATTTTTAGATAAAGTGCAAAATACATGGGGTAAGATATATAGTATTTCTAGAAAAAAAATCTTGTAAGATAAGATGTTAATTTTGAAAAAAGTCAAAACTTAAAAAAATCACTCTGACTTTATTTTGAGAAGTATCGAAATGGTTTATATCTCAAATTGAAGATAAAATGCAATATTTTTAGATAAAGTGCTAGATACATGGGGTCATATATAAAATATTTCTAGAAAAAAGATCTTGTAGAAGAAAATGATAATTTAGGTTACTTCAGCAAAAGTCAAAAATTAAAAAAATCTTTCCAACTTTATTTTGAGGCGTATCGAAATAGTTTATATCTCAAATTGAAGATAAAATGCTATATTTTTAGATAAAGTGCAAAATACATAGGGTAAGATATAAAATATTTCTAGAAAAAGAATTTTGTAGAACAAGATGTTAATTTCAAAAAAAGTCATAACTTAAAAAAGTCACTCCGACTTTATTTTATGGTATGTGGAAATGATTTATATCTCAAATTGAAGACAAAAAGTTCTATTTTTAGAAAACCTCTAAAATTAATTGGGTGAGATTAAAAATATTTACATTATTTCGAATTTATAACTAAAAATATGTTACAAATCTTCTTACATCTTATTACAAAACTTTCTCCTAGTATTTTTAATTTTCGAGTTAAATAAACATTTTTATATTCAAAAACTTTTTATCTAACTTCATGCGTACTGAGCTTACAATACACTTAAAAGTTCTATTATATAAAAATTCTAAACAAAATTAAAACATTTCATTGATGTTGATTAAAGAATACGATTTTTTTTAATTGACGTGGTTTCGCTCGTTATCTTTGGACACAAATAAGTGAAATATCCCACTAAATTTTTTTTAAGATGAAAATAGAATTTTCTAAACGGGATCACTTTTATACAGAGATTGTTTCAAAATTAAAACATTGAGCGTACCCCATCAAATATGTCCATCACTTCATCCCACCACTAGAAAGAGAAAGAAAAACACAAAAATACATGGTTCTTTATAAAATTTGTAATAAAATTTTGGTCGATTTCATGGAGGAGATTTTCGTCTTAATATTGTTAATTTCTTTACAACAAATTTACAATAACAACATAATAAGTAAATTCTCTTTAAAAAAAATAAAATTATAACTTACTTCTTTCGCTTCTTTCTCGGATATCGAAGAATGTCCTGGGATGTAATTTTCAATCCTTCCTGGTTGATTTTTGTAAACATCTTTACCGTGTTTAATAACATCGGATTGTAGTGAATAACTAAAATATGATTTAAAAGAGGGTGTTTTAATTAAATTAAATTTGAATTTACCTATGTCCCATAGTTCTTGGCATAGTATAAGTAGCGATAAAAGTATCGTCTGGGTGATCTTGCCTTCTTCTATCCAAAGTTGATGTGTTCGGGTGATAAAATCCAGAATCGCTGTCGTAGGCGCCTGGTTCCGGTTCGGAAACGTAACCGGATGTGTATGGATATCGCCCTTTAAATTTATTTTATAAAATAAATTAAATAAATTAAAATTTATATTTTTAATCAAGCAAATTATGAATTGATTTTTTTTAATTGTATTTAAATGGTTTCGTGATAATATTCGAATTGAAGCTAAAATGCGTAATCACAACGTAATATAAGCGCTTATCAGAATGTTATCGTTACGAAAACGTTTTATGGTTCATTGAAGTTCTACGAGAAAGTAACAAATTCTTGCCCGTAAACAAACCTTGAAATTATTTAAAAAAATTTTAAATATTTAATTATAATTAACCAAACATGTATTTCTGATAAGGACTTTTATAAGCAATGCTCTTTAAAGTCTAAACAAACAAATTCGTTTTAGACAATAAAGAATAATAATGCGATAAATTAATCGCTAAGCTACACAACAAAACAAATCCAACACCGAGCTTTCGTTTTTAGAGCTTTTTTTCGTGTAATAGATACCTCTACGATGTTTATACCGGATTGTAACATAATCGTCTGGAAGAATAATACAAGAATATTTACATTAGTAAGTATTATTTACATTATCTTTTGAGATTCTAATGTAAATTTATAGTTAATACTAGTGGTGGAACGGATATCCAGCAACTATCCGATATTCGGCCATTTAAAAAAAAATTTTCGAATTTTGCAATTTTCGTCGATTAAGTTTTAAAAATTCGTATAAATTCCAGTTCTTGGAATATGAGTATGAAAATTTCCCAAAGGGTTAATAAAAGTGTCTTCTTTCCAATGAACCAACCCGTTTTGAAAAATAACTTTTAGTTTTTGAGAAAACAATATTTGAAGTTTTGATCAAATTTTCGATGTTGCAATTTTCAACGATAATTTTAAAAATTCGCTATAAAATTAATTTCTTGAAGGATGCTTGTGGTAATATCACCAATTATTGATTAAAGTATCCTCTTTTTAATGCAAAAAGCCGTTTTGAAAAATCACTTTTAATTTTTGAGAAATAAATTTTTGAAATGATCGACAATTTTTTCGAATTTTTCAATTTTTGCCGATTATGTTTTAAAAATTCGTATAAATTCCAGTTCTTGGAATATGAGTATGAAAATTTTCCAAAGTGTTAATAAAAATGTCCTCTTTCCAATGAACTCACCCGTTTTGAAAAATAACTTTTAGTTTTTGAGATAACAATATTTGAAGTTTTGATCAAATTTTCGATGTTGCAATTTTCATCGATAATTTTCAAAATTCGCTGTAAAATTAATTTCTTGAAGGATGCTTGTGGTAATATCACCAATTATTGATTAAAGTATCCTCTTTTTAGTGCAACAAGCCGTTTTGAAAAATTGCTTTTAGTTTATGAGAAATAAATTTTTGAAATGATCGACAATTTTTTCAAATTTTGCAATTTTCGTCGATTAAGTTTTAAAAATTCGTATAAAATCCATTTCTTGGAATATTCGTATGAAAATTTCCCATAGTGTTAATAAAAGTGTCCTCTTTCCAATGAACCAATCCGTTTTGAAAAATAAATTTTAGTTTTTGAGGAAACAATATTTGAAGTTTTGATTAAAATTTTCGATGTTGCAATTTTCATCGATAATCTTCAAAATTCGCTATAAAATTAATTTCTTGAAGGATGCTTGTGGAAATATCACCAATTATGAATTAAAGTATTCTCTTTTTAATGCAAAAACTCGTTTTCAAAAATCACTTTCAGTTCTTGAGAAATAAATTTTTGAAATGATCGACAATTTTTTCAATTTTCGCCGATTAAGTTTTAAAAATTCATATAAAATCCAGTTCTTGGAATACGACTATAAAAATTTCCCAAAGTGTTAATAAAAGTGCCCTCTTTCCAATGAACTAACCCGTTTTGAATAATAACTTTTAGTTTTTGAGAAAACAATATTTGAAGTTTTGATAAAACTTTCGATGTTGCAATTTTCATCGATAATTTTCAAAATTCGCTATAAAATTAATTTCTTGAAGGATCCTTGTGGAAATATCACCAATTATTAATTAAAGTATCCTCTTTTTAATGCAAAAAGCCGTTTTCAAAAATCACTTTCAGTTCTTGAGAAATAAATTTTTGAAATGATCGACAATTTTTTCAGTTTTCGCCAATTAAGTTTTAAAAATTCATATAAAATCCAGTTCTTGGAATATGAGTATGAAAATTTCCCAAAGTGTTAATAAAAGTGCCCTCTTTCCAATGAACCAACCTGTTTTCAAAAATAAAGGATCCTTGTGGAAATATCGCCAATTATTAATTAAAGTATCCTCTTTTTAGAGTTGCTTCATTTGTTAAATCATCACCAAAAAAGTTCATTTTGTATCTTGGATCCAAATAAGTTAATCAAATATCGCAATAATGTGGCAATATAGGGTATCACTTCAGAAATGCACCACAAATTATAACCATAATGGCCGGATAAATATGCCGGATAACCGGATATCCGGCCGAAGGGGAGCCGAATATCCGGTATCCGGCTTTTCGCAAAATCACTATCCGTTCCATCACTAGTTAATACATTGTTTTTATTACATTAAATAAAAAATACTGAAAGAAAACTCACCGTCATATCTAGGTTTTTGTTTATGAATCGTATCGTACATTTTCTTGTACCACCTTGATTGGTTTTGGTCACGAACTTCCTATAATAACAATAAAATTTATCTCAACCGAGTAAATTAAAATATTTTTTTTAAATCTTACAGATCTTAATGTTAAAGGCATCCCGTCTTTTGTGGTTGGACCAATTCCCGGAAATTTCCTTGGTCCTAAATCAGCGATTCGTTTTGGTCGTTCACTTTCTGATTCACTCGTGTATTCGTTTTTAATTTCGTAAACTAAAAAAAAAATTAATGAAATTTATAAAAAAATAAATAAATTAATGAAATACCAATTTCTCCTGGATTTATTTTTGGTGGAGATTCATGTTTTCTTGGGGGAGGTGGAGGTTCTTCGATGTAAGAAGCACCTTTTGGTAGTTGTCCTTCTAAAATCGATTAATTTATAAATCTTATTCTTTGTATTTTTAAATATTTCACCTCTAGCTTTTTGAAGTAAAATAATAGTTGGGTTTTGCGCTCTTGGAAGTCGAGGAGTTTGAGTAAATTCGCCAAATCCACTCGAAGGGGCTGAATGACTGTTCGGAATTCGTTTTTGTAAGGAAGACGATAAAGTTTGATTAATATTGTTTTTCCAGGGGGGTTCAATTTGAGATGACGTTTGAATAGGAGACTGAAAAGAATTGTTTTAGTTCGAAAAATAAAATCAAATAAAACTTACAATCGGTTGATTTTTTCTACTTAAAACCGGAGAATTAAACGTGATAGGTCTAAATTCTTTTCGTTCCAATTGTGGACTAGATCCGGCACTTTTCGGCGTCCAAACTGGTGCTATCGGTTCTTCATTCCTATCTTGATCTAAAGAAGATTGCCTTTGTAAGTCTTCGGCGCTAAAAGAATCCCTTTGGCCAGGAGTCCAAATTCCTATAAAAAATCAATTAATATAAAAAATTGTGTTTATAACGAGAAATGAGGATGATACGATTTTGATTATATACTATGTACGCAGTTGGTTAGTAATCATGCTTTTCATGACTTTTCAGTTTAAATTGAATACTATAATTTATAACCGGGTTGAAACTCGAGAACGTTTGCTCGTTAATTTAGAGAACGAATCGCCTCTCCTCCTTCCAGCAGCAGCGACCTTGTTCATTCAGTTTACAAATTACGAGCAACACATGTCGCGTGGCGTCGAGTTATAAATTAACATTACAGGAAGTGTACTATACCATGTGTGCACCTTTTTCTAACCATATAGAATTTGACCAAAATACTAAGAAACCCCAGAAAAAAATCTTTTTGTGTAGGAGTGGGTTGTAATGACTTCAAAAACATCTTGCCAAGTCGCCCAAATTAAATATCATTCTTCAAAATAGGTCAGTAACGTTGTGTGTTACATTGTTAATTGAACGAAAGAAAATTTGGCTAGGAAAATAAACTACAATGTTGCCTACGATATTGATTTAATTTAAAAATACTTTTTCCTTGAAGGATAAATCGGTGATGAGAGATGGGGAAATGCTTGCGGGAAGGAAAGCTATAAAGACTATAAAGGAAAAAGGTTTATGATAATAGCGGCCATTAATTACATGGTCATAACTGTCCAGAACAAGAAATGTGACGTTTAATAAGTGGATTTGTTTAAGAGGAATTTTAAAACAAATTATTTATAGACTACTTAGGCACTTTATTTAAGGATTTTTTAATTCATCCACTTTTTATATTTAATTAAATAATTAGTGGAAAAATATTTTAATCAATTATAAATCGTTAAACAGGTAGTTGACCATGAGAAAATTCAAAATTTTTGTTAGCTTGGTTAAGTTTTCAAAGACCTTGACTTTAAATATAAACTGATCGACTAAAGTAAACTAAACAAACCTCCATTTTTATTTTTTATTTTCATAAACGTTCAGGGCACATGTTCAATTTCATTCTCCTGTATTTTTTAATCCCCATAAAATATGAAACGAAAAAGTTTATACACCTAACGATTGTTTTGGAACAAGTCTCGTTGGTTTTGTGCCAATTTTGTAAAGAATATAAAATTTCAAAAAAGACTCCATTAAAATTGTTATTCAATTCTGCATAATTTCACCAAGTATCGTNTCCCCATAAAATATGAAACGAAAAAGTTTATACACCTAACGATTGTTTTGGAACAAGTCTCGTTGGTTTTGTGCCAATTTTGTAAAGAATATAAAATTTCAAAAAAGACTCCATTAAAATTGTTATTCAATTCTGCATAATTTCACTTATCCATGAGAGCAAACGGTAATTTTTTAAACTTAACTTTAAGATTTATTTTCTCAAGAACTACTTAAGATATCATCAAACGGTTTTTTGAATTAAATTAATTAAACAATTTTTTATTAACACATGAAGTTTCGTTGCTTCGATTTTATTAATAAATTAGCAAAAAATTTTTTAAATGTGAGTTGCAAAAAATATGTTTCTAAAACGGGTTAAGTTTAAACTTTTTTTTCTCAAAAACTAATTTTGACAGCCAAAAATTATTCACTCCATTAAAATTGTTATTCAATTCTGCATAATTTCACCAAGTATCGTTCCTTTATTTTTTTGGATAACGCAGATAAGTAATTTTTATCTCAACCCTAACAAAAAATTTCCAAGCAAACGGTAATTTTTTAAAGTTAACTTTAAGATTTATTTTCTCAAGAACTACTTAAGATATCACCAAACGGTTTTTTGCATTAAATTAGTTAAACAATTTTGTATTAACCCACGAAGTTTCGTTGTTTCGATTTTATTAATAAATTAGCAAAAAATTTTTTAAATGTGAGTTGCAAAAAATATGTTTCTAAAACGGGTTAAGTTTAAACTTTTTTTTCTCAAAAACTAATTTAGATAGCCAAAAATTATTCACTCCATTAAAATTGTTGTTCAATTCTGCATAATCTCACCAAGTATCGTTCCTTTATTTTTTTGGATAACGCAGATAAGTAATCTTTATCTCAACGCTAACAAAAAATATCCAAGCAAACGGTAATTTTTTAAACTTAACTTTAAGAGTTATTTTCTCAAGAACTACTTAAGATATCACCAAACGGTTTTTTGCATTAAATTAGTTAAACAATTTTGTATTAACCCACGAAGTTTCGTTGCTTCGATTTTATTAATAAATTAGCAAAAAATTTTTTAAATGTGAGTTGCAAAAAATATGTTTCTAAAACGGGTTAAGTTTAAACTTTTTTTTTTCAAAAACTAATTTTGACAGCCAAAAATTATTCACTCCATTAAAATTGTTATTCAATTCTGCATAATTTCACAAAGTATCGTTACTTTATTTTTTTGGGTAACGCAGATAAGTAATTTTTATCTCAACCCCAACAACAAATTTCCAAGCAAACGGTAATTTTTTAAAGTTAACTTTAAGATTTATTTTCTCAAGAACTACTTAAGATATCACCAAACGGTTTTTTGCATTAAATTAGTTAAACAATTTTGTATTAACCCACGAAGTTTCGTTGTTTCGATTTTATTAATAAATTAGCAAAAAATTTTTTAAATGTGAGTTGCAAAAAATATGTTTCTAAAACGGGTTAAGTTTAAACTTTTTTTTCTCAAAAACTAATTTTGACAGCCAAAAATTATTCACTCCATTAAAATTGTTATTCAATTCTGCATAATTTCACCAAGTATCGTTACTTTATTTTTTTGGATAACGCAGATAAGTAATTTTTATCTCAACCCTAACAAAAAATATCCAAGTAAACGGTAGTTTTTTAAAGTTAACTTTAAGATTTATTTTCTCAAGAACTACTTAAGATATCACCAAACGGTTTTTTGCATTAAATTAAATAAACAATTTTTTATTAACCCACAAAGTTTCGTTGTTTCGATTTTATTAATAAATTAGCAAAAAATTTTTTAAATGTGAGTTGCAAAAAATATATTTCTAAAACGGGTTAAGTTTAAACTTTTTTTTTCTCAAAAACTAATTTTGATATCCATAAATTGTTGACTCCATTAAAATTGTTATTAAATTCTGCATAATTTCACCAAGTATCGTTACTTTATTTTTTTTGAATAACGCAAATAAGTAATTTTTATCTCAACCCTAACAACAAATTTCCAAGCAAACGGTAATTTTTTAAAGTTAACTTTAAGATTTATTTTCTCAAGAACTACTTAAGATATCACCAAACGGTTTTTTGCATTAAATTAGTTAAACAATTTTGTATTAACCCACGAAGTTTCGTTGTTTCGATTTTATTAATAAATTAGCAAAAAATTTTTTAAATGTGAGTTGCAAAAAATATGTTTCTAAAACGGGTTAAGTTTAAACTTTTTTTTCTCAAAAACTAATTTTGACAGCCAAAAATTATTCACTCCATTAAAATTGTTATTCAATTCTGCATAATTTCACCAAGTATCGTTCCTTTATTTTTTTGGATAACGCAAATAAGTAATTTTTATCTCAACCCTAACAAAAAATATCCAAGCAAACGGTAGTTTTTTAAAGTTAACTTTAAGATTTCTTATCTCAAGAACTACTTAAGATATCACCAAACGGTTTTTTGCATTAAATTAAATAAACAATTTTTTATTAACCCACGAAGTTTCGTTGTTTCGATTTTATTAATAAATTAGCAAACAATTTTTTAAATGCGAGTTGCAAAAAATATGTTTCTAAAACGGGTTAAGTTTAAACTTTTTTTTCTCAAAAACTAATTTTGATTGCCAAAAATTATTCACTCCATTAAAATTGTTATTCAATTCTGCATAATTTCACCAAGTATCGTTACTTTATTTTTTTGGATAACGCAGATAAGTAATTTTTATCTCAACCCTAACAACAAATTTCCAAGCAAACGGTAATTTTTTAAAGTTAACTTTAAGATTTATTTTCTCAAGAACTACTTAAGATATCACCAAACGGTTTTTTGAATTAAATTAGTTAAACAATTTTGTATTAACCCACGAAGTTTCGTTGTTTCGATTTTATTAATAAATTAGCAAAAAATTTTTAAATGTGAGTTGCAAAAAATATGTTTCTAAAACGGGTTAAGTTTAAACTTTTTTTTCTCAAAAATTAATTTTGATATCCATAAATTGTTGACTCCATTAAAATTATTATTCAATTCTGCATAATTTCACCAAGTATCGTTCCTTTATTTTTTTGGATAACGCAGATAAGTAATCTTTATCTCAACCCTAACAACAAATTTTCAAGCAAACGGTAATTTTTTAAAGTTAACTTTAAGATTTATTTTCTCAAGAACTACTTAAGATATCACCAAACGGTTTTTTGCATTAAATTAGTTAAACAATTTTGTATTAACCCACGAAGTTTTGTTGTTTCGATTTTATTAATAAATTGGCAAAAATTTTTTTAAATGTGAGTTGCAAAAAATATATTTCTAAAACGGGTTAAGTTTAAACTTTTTTTTCTCAAAAACTAATTTAGATAGCCAAAAATTATTCACTCTATTAAAATTGTTATTCAATTCTGCATAATTTCACCAAGTATCGTTCCTTTATTTTTTTGGATAACGCAGATAAGTAATTTTTATGTCAACCCTAACAAAAAATATCCAAGTAAACGGTAATTTTTTAAACTTAACTTTAAGATTTATTTTCTCAAGAACTACTTAAGATATCACCAAACGGTTTTTTGCATTAAATTAAATAAACAATTTTTTATTAACCCACAAAGTTTCGTTGTTTCGATTTTATTAATAAATTAGCAAAAATTTTTTTAAATGTGAGTTGCAAAAAATATGTTTCTAAAACGGGTTAAGTTTAAACTTCTTTTTCTCAAAAACTAATTTTGATATCCATAAATTGTTGACTCCATTAAAATTGTTATTAAATTCTGCATAATTTCAACAAATTTGGTTGTTTCAAGTTTATACACCTTACAGTTGTTTTGGAATGACTCTCATTGGTTTTGTGCCAAT